GGGATTTGAACTCGGGTCCTTGTGCTTGCAAGGCAGGCCACCGAACTGCTGAGCTAAATCCGCAGCCCTGATATATATATATATTTTTAATCCACTTAAAAGTGAGATAGCAGGCCAGGGATTTAGCTCAGTGGCACTGCACCTGACTCACAAGCACAAGGTCCTGAGTTCGATCCTTGGTACACACACACACACACACACACACACACACACACACACACACACAAAGTGAAATAGCCAAACTGAGATTTTTGGGGGCCAGCTTTTGCTAATGTCATCCCATAATAAATATCAGCAGACAGCTCAAATTCAAAATTAATGTCATTTCCCAACGAAGATGGAATTTGCCACACTATTTGAGGATCTTGATTTCTTCCAGCCGTCTTGTATTTTGTCTAAATTAAATCTAAATGTTTACCAGCATGAGTTCCACATTCTCACTGTGAATGAGAGTACTTTAAGGTGAAATTGGATACGTGTTTTAGCAGGATGTTTCCCACTGGGGAGAGCTGAGGAATGGGACACACGATCTTCAGATTGGTCCAGAGAAAGCTGTTGCTTCTCTTGGAAGCAATTCATGCTCTTGAGCCATCCACACCCAGTGCCAAGAGTGCATTTGCATTTTTGATCAAATTCTTACTCTGTATTAGTTTTCTGTCGCTGCCTGTTATGGTTTGTATCTAGTGTCCCCTAAGACCCTCATGCAATCACAGGCAGGGCTTTTGGAAGGAGATTACAGGGACTGAGAGTTGACTCCGGAGGAGTCGGGGAGGCGGGGTCTGTAGAAGGAGTGGTCCCCTGGGGCGTGGTTTGGAGGAGTTTATCCCCTTCCTGGCTCCTCCCTTCTCCCTCTGCTTCTGCTTCCAGTAACATGAGCAGCTCTCCACAGTGCTGCCCCGCCTTGGAGCCAGCTGTGAGCCAAAATAAACCTGTGCTCCTTCAAGTTATGGATGTTTCATATTGTGTCTCGGTGATGGGAAAGTGACTAAGACACTGCCGCGAAAAATGACTACCAGTCTGGTGACTTAAAGAGAGGAAGATAACAGAACTGAGGGTGCAGCTCAGTGGTTAGAGCGCTTGCCTCGCATGCACAAGGCCCTAGTTTGATCCACAATAACAACCACAATTACAACTACAACAAATGCATCCTTGGGCTGGGGATGTGACTCAGTGGTAGAGGTCTTGTGTAGCATGTGCAAGGCTCTGGATTTGATCCTCAGCACTGCAAAAACAAAACAAAACAATTCTCTTACAGTTCTGTAGATTACAAGTCTGACCTGGGTCAGGCTTGGCTGAAATCATGGTGTCCATGGAGGCTGCAGGGCAGAATCTGTTCCCTGCCTCTTCCAGCTTTTAGAAGCTCCCCGTTGCTGGCCACTCACTCACTTTCTCCAGGTTCAAAGCGAACCTGGTGGCCCCTCTCTGAGTATGCTCTGTGTGCAGGCCCCTATCAGAACCGGGAGGTTTCCAACTATTCCCTGTGCTAGCTTTCCATGCCTGTGTCTTTGAGGTTGCCTTGTCTCTCTTCTTTCTCCTCTCCTGAGATGAACTGCATTCTGGGAGGAAATGAACTGCATTCTGGGAGGCAAGGTGACTGCTCGTTGTAGAGATAGGAACCAGACTCTTGCACCAGCCACCAAGCACAATGTGACGTCGGGTAGCAGGAGCAGAGGAAGGTTGGCTTCCGGAAAGGGTCGCTGAACCTCAGCACCTATATTCATCTTCTGGGGCTGCCATAAAAAAACCCACAGCCCAAGGAGCTGAGACCCCAGGAGGTTATCTTTTCACAGTTCTCCATCGCTGGAAATCCAGGATCGAGGTCTGTCATGTTTTAGATCTAATGTGTCCCCCCAAATTCTCCTGTGTGTGGAAGGTGACTGGGTCACAGGACGCTGTGCTCACCTGTGGACTCACCCCGCTGACTGAGGAGTTCACTGCTGACTACGCAGGAGGCGGAGCCTGGCTGGAGGCGGGTCTGGGGGTGTGGCCTGGAGGGTGGATTCCGGTCTTCTCCATTCTCTCTGCTTCTCGGCTGCCGTGCCTTAAGCATCTTTCCCTCTGCCAGGCCTCTCTGCCATCCTGTTGCTGCTTTGGAGCCAGCTGAGCATGGACTGAAATGTGAGTGGAGAAAACCTCTCCTCTAAGTTGCAGGTGCCAGGCAATTTGCTGCAGCAATGGGAAGGCGATTAAGACAAGGGCTCGAGGCCTCTGTCCCAGGGTCACAAATGGCCACCATCTCTCTGCATCTTCACATAGTCCTCCTTCTGTGCAAGCACACTCCGGGTGTCCCTCTGTGAGTCTAGGTTTCCTCTTAAACCCAATGTGATAGCCCACACCTGTCATCCCCACACTCGGGAGGCTGAGGCAAGGAGGATCAGTGCAAGTTCAAGGCCAGCCTGGGCTCCAGAGTGAGTTCTCTTTACCGGGTGGTTATAGATGCTGTGAGACATGGACGTGAAATGCCAATTGCACCCTAACAGTGCTTGCCCGCCTCTTCTCCCCACCTGCCCCTCTCTTCTGCTTTTCTTCACCACCAGCGGGAAATGCTCAGTTATTTTCCCTGAGGTGATCTTCAGTTTAATAACTGGAATTATCACAGGGTTCAAACCTCCCCGGTGGGATTTCAGACATCAGCTGGCAGATGTGCAGAGGTCTCACCCGAGGCAACTGCAGGAGGGAAAACTCGCAGCTGTGCCGCCCACCCCTGCCTGGGGCTGCTCCCTCCTAAATAAGAGGCTGCCAAGATCTGACTTGATTCCATTTTACTCTAAATTGCCCACCCTGTGGCCGGGGATGCAAAGCAGAGTCCTGAAAATCAATTCCACTGTGCCAAGGGGCAGGGCCTGCAGACTTTCTGCCTGGAGATGTGACTGTGGGTGTGGAGCAAATGGTGCTTTGCCTTGGGGTCCAGTGCTTTGGAATGCAGAGCTGTTTGCAGATGTTTTCTGTTTTGATGTCCGCAGCATGCATTATGCATTCTCTGTATGATCATACTCAGTGCAGAGCCCTTTGTGAAGGCCAGAGTGGCAAGAGGGAGAAAGTGGTCATCTTCCCTCATCAGCAGTGGGCCAAGTACCAGTGATCTGGTTCCATACAGAGGCTAAGGTTGGGGAGGGGAGGACAGGTTGGTCTTGTTCTTCTCCTTCTGCCCTTTCTAGGAAGCAGTCTGCCCACCGTAAACCAAGACATTAGCAAAATTCCATGGTGAATCAAAAACTGGAAGGAATCTCTTCATTTAGCTAAGAGCCAAGCCTGATTCAAATGGTATTTCTTTCTGGGACTGTGGACCAACCTCAGGCTGCCTACTCCCTGCTTGACCGGTTTACCCAGCGTGTGTTTTGTAGTGCCAAGGCTCGCACGCAGAAATTTAGGCATGCTAAGCCCATGTTCTACCATGAAGCCACATCCCCAGCCTGTCCTTTAGAATTTGTTTGTTTTGAGACAAAGTCTTGCTTTGTAGCCCAGGCTGGCCTTGAATTCAAGGTGATCCTCCTGTCTCAGCCTCCTGAGTGCTGAGAGTATAGGTAGGCCTCGCCCTCCAAACAGAGAAGTTAGTGAGGCAAGTGAGAAACAGGTTAAGTGAGGTTGGAGTCTCTCCAAACAAAGGGAAAGCGTTGCAAACTGACAGATACCTGGGTGACTGTCACTGTCTTCAACCAACCCACTTGTGTAGAATTTACCTTTCAATGACTACAGCATCATTCATCTAAATTGCTGGTTCTTAACTGGAGGAGATGTGGCCCTTGGGGGACTTGGGGGACATCTGGGGACATCTTTACATGGCTGTGTTCAGGCACACTGGTGGGTAGAAGGTGCACACACCCCTAAACAATGCAGACAGGCTGGGTCCCCTCAATAAAGACTTGTGTGACCCAAAATGTTGGTAAGGTCAGGACTGAAAAATCTTGAAGCCAGGCATGATGTCACACAGCGGTAATGCTAGCAACTGGGGAGGCTGAGGTAGGAGGGTCACAAGTTCAAGGGCTGCCTCTGAATCTTAATGAAAGGCTGTCTCATAAAATTTTGGAGGCAGGTGGGGTGTGGAGGTAGGGCAGCATCAGGGTGCTTGGCTGGCATGTGTGAGGTCCCAGGTTCAATCTCCAATATTTCCTCCCACCAAATAAAGAGCAAAAACCTTGATCTAAGGCCACACAAAAGGGGAAAGGTTCCTGTAACACAACTACACCAAATCACACTCACTTTTCTGTGTTTATGAGTACTTGCATTTCCATAGTTCTCGGAGACTCATGGGAATATAATTGACATTCCATTTTTCTTGGTTTATTAATGTATCCTGAGCTCTTGCCTCACTATCCTCTTGTTTGTTTTTCACTTTTTTGCAGCACTGGGAATTGAACACAGGGCCTTCAAACTGAGCTATGTTACCTTCCCCCCCACTTTTTTTTTTTTTCACACAGAGTCTGACTACATTGCCCAGGCTGGACTCACACTAGCAATCCTCCTGCCTCAGCTTCCCAGCATGCTGGGATTACAGGCACACACCACCATTCCTAGCTCAGCTACCTTTTTTTTTTTTTTGGTACCAGGGATTGAACTCAGGACCTTGTGCTTGCAAGGCAGGCTGTGGAACTGCTGAGCTAAATCCCTGGCCCCTCCGTTATCATTTTTAATAGATGTATCACAATACAATGGTTCAATACCCCATAGTTTGGGGACTTGCTTAGCGGGCCATCTGGTCATGGGTGGCTCTGTGACCCTGGGGTGGCAGACACTAGCATCATGGGGCTCCATCATCAAAAGACCTTTGTGAAGCGCCCTGGGCACTCCCCTGGCAGCGGCGGGGTGGGGGGATCCTGCTGCAGAGTTCTTTCTCCAGCCCCACCACTGGGCCCTGCGGGCTCACACAGCAGCCTACTTATTAGCCAACCACCAAGGCATCTGAACACCAGACTGTGGGCCCCAGGCAGAGAGGGCAACATCGGATTCTCGGCTAACATTCATGCCAAAAGTGAGCTCATCTAGAATTCTTGGAGGACTGTGATTTCAGGAGCTCACCCTGGGTGGGCAGGAGGGGAGCGCACAGCCGGTTGACCGCGAATCCCTCCTTGTCCCAGGCTCACAGTGCCCGGGCCAGTGCTGGCCTGAGACCCTCGCTTCTCTCTGCAGGTGTTCCATGAGCAGGGCATCCTCTTCGGCTACCGGCACCCTCAGAGCTCCGCCACTGCCTGTGTGCTAAGCCTTTTCCAGATGACCAATGAGACCCTCAACATCTGGACCCACTTATTGCCCTTCTGGTACCTTCCGGACCCCAGGGGCCGGGAGGGCCGCAAGTCTGTGCCGGGATTGGGGGTCCCCCCGTGGGTGTCGGTGAATGTGAGTTGGGGGGAGGCGGTTCTGCCACAGAGTGGCCATGGGTCGTGGTGGGGTTCCAGGGAGTCCTCTGAGTGTTCACCTCCAACTCCTTCTTGGGGCTTCGTGGGTCCCTGGGGTTAAAACATCACCAGCTTGAGCAAAGCACTTACTCTTTCTGAGCTTTGTGCTTTGCCACTGCAGAGCGTGGCACAGGGCAGCTGTGAGGACGGGGAGAAGAGTTAGTAAAGGCATCAGGCAGCAGGCTGTGGGTGCTCAGGATTGTTCTGGAACCTCAGCCTTGGGGGCCCATGGTCACACGTTACAAGAAGGACCTCCTGGTGCCATGGGGACTGTTCCTGGACCCCATACCAAATTGTGCATATGTCTTTATGCAAAACCGTGTCGTGTCTGTGTGTCTCCTCTGCACGCCTTCCCGTACACTTCAAACCATCTCTAGGTGGCTGACACTTCCGGCAGCGAGGTAATGCCATTAACAGCTATTAGGCTGTGCTTTGGGAATAAGGGGCTGGAAAGTGCACATGCTCAGTACAGGTGCAGTTTTAGCCCTTGCATACTTCGATTTGCAGTTGGTCGAATCCGAGGAGGAAGAACCCATAGACAGGCTGGGGTGGTTGTGTATCAGAGATGGGCAGGTGATGAAGGTCATTTGAGTCATGAAGGTCATTTGAGACACAGAATGGAAGGGATCCGGGGTCCATGGAGTGGTTAGCCAGCCTGACCAGAAGTGGGAAGACACAGCCAGGACCAGATGAAGAGAAAGCTCCTTCCTGGAGAGCCGGAGGGGGAATAAGGTGATCTGTAGTGGAGCCTGACAGCCCAGAAGTCTGCAGCCTCAGCTAGGGGACAGCAAGGAGGCCACGTGTCATGTTAATTTTTACTTATGTAAAAGGCTCCCTGGCACTAAGGGAATGGAGCCGGCCACCTAGTTCTCCTCGCTGGGTCACTGGGGCTGCCCACGCATTGTGTTGTCCCGAGCTCTTCTGGGAGTCCGAGGTGCTCTGATTTGTGGATGGACCAAGAGTGGCTCTGGCTGGTTTGAGATTTGTGCCGCTCCACAGTGTGGGGTCCTCAGGGCCATGCACAGATCCTGGGGGTGACTGTTCAGCTATTTTACAGTACAGCCAAGCAGGCCCCATACTGCACAGGGCTCCCCTACACTGGGCCGGGCTCTCAGACACCTCTGGACTGCGTGGCACAGAGTGTCGGAAGGGGGTGGGCGTGTGCCTCAAGACACCTGAAAGGGGCCTGTGGGGCAAGCCTGAGGTTAAATTCTTTAAAAAATGGATGTTTGCTGAAGCTCTATTTCTGCTAGGGCCAGAGGAGAAAGCCTGCAAGTTTAGCAGCCAGAGGGTTTAGCCACACTCCTCATCCCGGTTTTAGTAGTCTCCTTCCTACGGAGGGAGCTGGTCCCTCAGCAGTAGTTCGTGGTAGTGAAGTGTGGGGATCTGGGGGAACTCCACATGTGGGTGACAGGCAGGTATGACAGCTGTGTATTGTTCCTGATCTTTCTAACACTCAGAATTACCCGGGGAGGTGGTGAGCTCTCCATCCTTAGAGACAGACAAGAGAAACTGGAGAATCACTCAGTCAAGAAGCTGTAAGAGGGGTTCCACTGCCCCCCCACTTGCACATAGTATTTCCCCAAAGTGAGGACTCGCAGAGAGTCGGATGCGGCATCTGAAAGGACCGTGTGGTCTGCGCTGTGTTCCAGGTTCTTTGTGTGGAGGTTTGTGACTGCGCTGTGCGTGACAGACATCTGGAATGACAGCTACTCGTGGCCCATGCTCGTGTACATGTGCACCAGCTGCGTGTACCCCCTGGCATCCAGCTGCGCACACACCTTTAGTTCCATGTCTAAGAAGGCCCGGCACATCTGCTACTTCCTGGACTACGGCGCGGTCAACCTCTTCAGCCTGGGTACGCGGCCTGCTTGGCGTTCACACCTGCCAAGCTGGGCCCCCAGCAGGGTGTTGATGGTCTTTCAGGGGGAACTCAGGAGAGGCCAGGGCCCTGCCCACGCACCTGGTGAGGGTTTTATAAGGTATGGAGCCAGCACCTGGTTGTCCGGGGACACCAGCCCTGATCTGCAGCATTGGCCGATTTCTGGGTGCAAATGCTCCCCCACAGCCCACTTCTGGCTCCCTGTGAGGCATGACTGGGTACAGAGTAGGTGGGGAGATGGACAAACTACCACATAGCAATTCCACTGCACAGAAACAGGAAGTATACGAGCTGAGTGCTGGGGACTTGGGTTAATGTGAGTTACTTAACTGTAAGTCTATGTACTTTAATTTTTAATGATGCCTGGGTTTGACAGTTCAGCTCACGGCAGCTCTGAAACTCTGGCACAGCTCGGGCAGGCCAGGCAGGGCAGGTGCAGCACAGCAGGGCTGGTCTGTCACACTGGACACAGAGCAGGGCCAGGCCACCAAGCTCATCTGCTCGGAGTGCCACAGGAACTGAGTGGAAGTTGGGTGTGGATGTCCCCAAAGTCCTGTCTTTTTCTTTTCCCAGCATGCCCCTCTCCCTGCCTCCTCTCCTCCCCGCTGCTGTGGGCATCTATCCAGCCCAGAACCTGGCTCTAGCCTCTTCCTCCCGCATGTTCCAGCTCTTGGTCTGCAACCCTATCACAAGCGCTTGTCCAGGCCAGGTGAAGTGGTGCACTCATGTAATCTGAGCTCCTCAGGAGGCTGAGGCAGGAGAGTCACAAGCTCAAGGCCAGCCTGGGCAATTTAGGGATATGGTATCTGGAAATAAAATATTAAAAGGGCTTGGGCTGTAGCTCAGTGGTAGAGCACCCCTGGGTTTGATCTCTAGTACTGGAAAAAATATTTTTTTTGTCCAAAAGGAGCATACATCTGTCTTCTTTCCTGCTCCTCTCTCCTTTCACAGGGGTATGTGTTTGTGTATGCAAACTCTCTCACCTACCTTCCTGCCTGCTAAAACCAGCTGTCTCAGCTCCAGTTTCCTGACTGTCAGGACCCAGCAGGCTCTATTATGGGCCATTTCTCTTCTACTCTTTTGTTTTTTAGGCAGAGTCTTGCTGTGCAGTAGGCTGGTCTAGATTATGTAGCCCTGGCTGCCTCTGCCTCCCAAAAGCTGGGGTTTTAGGCATGCGCCACCACACCCACCTCTAGCTGCCCCCCTGGGCCTCCCATGCACGGTGCCTCAGTTGTGGTCATCATGGTCACTATCCGGAGCCCCGGAAACTCCCTGTGCTGGGCCTGGCCCTGTCCTCCCTGCCCTTGGGCTCCTGTCCTGAGGCTCTGGCCAGCTCTGCTGTACCTTGGGCAGCTCAGAGACCCCAGTGTCTGCCACACACTGCCCATTAGCATCCGCCAGGCAGAGCAGCATGGCTCAGTCCCTGAAGTCCAGGGCCAGGAAGGGCTCGGCTGCCTGAAGCACCTGGGAGCATAGCCCTCAGCCCCTCTGTCTGAGCTACAGCCACATAGCGCCAGGGGGAGCAGAGGCTAAGCCAGTGTGGCTGCGGCCGGGTCAGGGTTCTCAAAGTCTGGGCCTGACAGTGACCATGGGCCAACCCTCACGGAGGACAGCAGCCTGTGTTCTTCCCAAGAGGCCCCCACCAGCAGGGCTCCAGAAGACCCCAGACCTAGATCAGAACCCCACACCCTGCCTCTTCTCCTCTTTCCTGCCTCTCACACCAGTGTCCCCAAAAGGGTCAGGGATGCTGGGATGCTCAGAGGTAAGCTTGGCTTTGCTCCATGGTGGCTGTGTGACCCTTGGTGAGATGCTAACCCTCTCTGGGCTGTAAGGATTAAGTGAGTTACAATATGCAAGGCGGCTCATCCCAGTGCTTGGGTTTGGGAGCAGAGCAGTGAGGGGAGGTGGTCGGGGTTCTCTTGCCCCCAGTCCCAGCTTCCTTCCCGTAGCTGGTTCTTCCTCCAGGCTCGGCCATCGCCTACTCCGCCTACACCTTCCCAGACGCACTGGTGCGCACAGCTTTCCGGAACTACTATGTGGCCCTGGCCGTGTTCAACACCAGCCTCAGCACCGGCCTCTCCTGTTACTCCAGGTACCGGCGAGGGCAGGGGCAGGGCCTGGGGGCCCAGGAAGGGATGGCGGGGCGCAGGCTCTGCCCCAGGGACCCACCCGAAGGTGGGCTGAGGCAGGCGGCGCCTTTCTGGTTTCGCACTCCGACCCCCGATGGTTTCTGGATGGGATTTTGACTTCCACCGGCCAGGTGCCTGCTGCCCCACGCCTGGGCAGGTCTTCACTCCCCGTTCGCTTATCTGTAAAGTGGGGGCAGGGCCTCCACCTCGAGGACATGGACCCAGGACCCCCACGAGCCTGGATAGAGCAGGGCCCTCGGAAACGGGCCGTGTGCCACAAGTGACCGGTGGGCCTGCCCATGTCTGTGGTGGACCCTGGTGACCTGCATGTCTAGCTCATCCCCTCGGCCAGAGGTCCAGCCCCGCACCGTTTTCCACTGTTTCTTCCCTTTGGCAACGAGTCTTAGCTGCTCTTCTCTTTGCTGAGACGCAATACCTGGCACCCACAGTTTAAAGGAGAAGAGGCTTCTGCTCGCGATTCAGTTCATAGCTGGCTGGCTCCAAGGCAGGCAGCGTGGAGCCAGGCAGCATGGCAGAGGACCTGGTGGAGGAGAGCTGCTCACCTCAGGGTGGACAGGAAGCGGAAAGCCTAGGGAGGAGCCGGGAGGGAGGTAAACCCTTCCAGGTCACGCCCCAGGGACCGCCTCTTCCAACCGTAACCACCTCCCAATAGCAAGTCAGCTCTAAGCTCCCATAGTCCATCACCTTCCCAAGGCCCCGCCTTTGAGCACAAGAGGCACTTGGGGGACCTGTAGACACCTTCCGTAACAAGGCGCCTTGTCTTGGAGACAGCTGTGATCCTTTCATGAGCTCTCTGCAGAAATAAACCTTTTTTCCTTTTTTTTTTTT